TATGTGCATGGAGATCCAATGGCGGCCTGTAAAGCTTAGCTGCAACCATACCTTCTGCATCCGGTGCTTGATCGTCATGCAAAACAACAAGCAATACAACTGTCCGTTCTGCCGCGAGAAGACAGTGTTCGATGCAAACTCAGGTGAGTATTCATATGGCGTATAACTGAAAGTCAAAACATTAACGACATGACAGACAATCTCGATACCGAACAGGCAGCCTTCCTTAAGAAATGGTTCCCAGAGGAAGTCAAGAACAAGCAGCGGTACAACGAGATGATGGCAGGTGTGGACCAGTACGGAGAAGTGTATGCGACTGAAAAGTGCGTTATGATGTAACAATCCGCAGCTTTGATAGGTCGCATGCTAAATCTGTGCCAAAGATTCATGCGCGGCGGTTCCTTGTGGTAAGTCATGTCCGCGGTTCATCTAAAGAGATGCTTGCTAAAGTATCATCAGGCACATGATTTGATTTCGTCTACAGGATTTGAGCGCTTTGCCAAGAGCTGTTTTGAGATTTTTACCCCAAAGATACCCAGCACATGTTGTGCATATACACTAGCCAATAGACTAATTCAACATATCTCTACTACCGTCATGTGTGATTTGAGCTGAGCATTTGATGACGCTAGAGAGTGAATTTGCATCAGGACAGGGGAAGTAGCTGAGTGGTGACGGACTTCGTGTGGAAGAAACTCCGGAAGGGGATTTGGATAATAAAGTAATAGATAGGTGTATAAGGAAAATCGTGCGGTAATGTGCTGCTACAACAGCGAAGCGCGTGTCTTTCGATCTGTCTTTAGCCAATAGTAAACGCCGTCCCTAGATGCAACCAAGTAATACGCTATGAAAGGAAAGAAAAGAAGATGCCAGTCTGAGGCTCGTTTGAAGAAATTATACACTGCGCTCTGGACTTTCACCCTCGGCGACCACCGCCACACCCAGCCCCCGATCGGGAGACTGGAGAACGAGTTGTTCGTGCCGCCTTGCGCGAATGAAATCCGATACACTCTTGATCAAGATGAACCAGCCGACAATCATCAGGCCGTACGCTATCCAGTCACTGCCTGTGATGGCACTCGCTGCGGGTGTCATATCACTACCCCCTGTGTTTCCACTGCCGACCTTGTCCGGGTCAAAGTCGTGCGCATTCGGGTCGTTTGGAACGCCACCGTCGAACCCTTGTCCGGGGTTATCGTTGCTACCGTTGTTCGGGGAGAGTACGGCGGAGCGGAATCCGAAACCGAACTGCACGAGCGTGATACCGAGACCAGCGCGGGATCCGTTCTTTGCGGCGTGGGTCGTGTGGAGGAGGTAGGTGAGGAGGAATCCGACGAGTTGGAAGGACATGGAGATCATGGCGTTCCAGAGGAAGCTGAAGAGGGAGCCGACGGGGAGGCCTTCGACAAAGACTTCATCGCCAAAAGTGCCGGGAGCGAGGATGGTGGTTTCCCAGTAGGGTGGTGTCGCGTCTGCGGCAGCTTGTTCATATGTCTGATGCATGTTAGCAGTGATTCACGCGACTTATCGTTAATCTGATACGTACTGGAGGCTTCTCCTCGGCATCCTCCCCTCTGGTAGGCTTTGCGCTGAGATTTGCCCAGACACCACCGTTTCCTCCACCGTACACCCGTCCTGGAGTGGGCGCTTGTGTGTTGAATACTGGCAGTTCCGTCACTCTCCTTTGGATGCCCGGTGGCGCCGCTTCCTCTTCTGTCCTCGGATTTCCCCGCATCAGCCGCTGCCGATCGTCGCGCCCATCGTTATCGTCGTCGTCATCCGAATCCGAGTCGAAGGTATCGGCGAGTGTGCGGTCTTCTTCGTTCGTTATCGGATCCTCGGATAGGAGATGCCGTGATGTGCCGTTTGGTGATGATGCGCGCGAGTGGAAGGAGGGTGGTGGCGAGGCCGGGGGCCACTGCTGGCCGGGTTGCAGGGTCTGGGGAGAGTCTTCTTCGTCTTGGGCGGCTACCTGGATTAACGCATTAGTGCTGTCGTTGCGAAAGCAATATAGGGGTTTCGCGCAGTCGCATGGTGGTCGGGATGGACCGGGGCAACGCACCCTCTCGTAGCCCTGGCTAGGCATGTTGCGCGGATAACCGGATGCGTGACGTGAAGGGGGCGATGGGATATCTGCTATCGGGTGTCGTCAAGGCGGGGAGTCGTAGGAATAGGTAAGGCAGCGAGCGTGGACGAGAGAGACGGCGGTTGTAGGAGGGAGGTGCAGGTGGGTGGAGCGTGTCAGGCGGCAGGTGCAGTGGAGGAGGCGTTTCAAATGCAAGTTGCTCGCTTTTGGGCCATGCGACACGGCTGCTGCGCCACGATCCAATAGCGCCTGGACCCTGGTTACCGAAGCATCATCGACTTTGAGGCCGAACAAAGTGAAGAACTTCACTTTTTTTCCAATTCACACACAACCATGGCGAATACTGTGAGTACACAGCAGTGCATTGTAACACACTCAGCTGACATAATCCAGATAACAAAGCAATACACTCGCCTCCTCGCTCTCTGGCCAAAAGACGCTCTGCGCCCAAATTTACCCTTCACACGCGCAATCGAGCATCATGGCAAACCATTCGGCGTCCAACCCATAACACCCACCCCCGAAGAGGGCGCAAAGCCCCAAGCGCCCGCACCCACAACACCGGCCGCATCTTCGCCGCCTGCGAATCCCAAGCTCGAGCAAGCCCAAGTAAACGCACTATTCTCGTTACTAGAGAACCGATATAGCACAAAGTATGCGCTATCACCGGGGGTACTGAAGCCAACATCTGCGCCAGAGCACTACACTAGGTTGATGGAGGAGATCGAGCGGGCGCCTCAGAAGACATGGTGGGAGGCCAAACTGGATCAGTGGAAGATGAAGATTCGATGGTCTTGAGGAACGAATTTACGACCCTGTATTATACTGTGAAGAATGTAAAATAAGCACAACATGTCATGGACACCCGAACATGCCCTCGCTCGCCTTGTCCCGATACGGCAGGCGCGCTCGTCTCTTTATGGTTCAATCTGCTGCGCGACACTGCGTTCTCACCACTCATCTTCACTATCACCTTGCCTAGAGACGCTATGAAAATCCGCTCTAGCCATTCTTATTTACACTACTCTTTGCTCAACTTCCCCTCCAAAACACCGCGACAAAACCAACGACAACCGCCAATTAACTATCTTCTGCAGCGATGTCGGGACAGATTGAGGAACCGGCGATCGAATTCAAGTCTGAACATGGGCGAATCCTGCAGACAGAAGCCTTCGAGTGAGTTCTTCACTTCTTAGAAAGAACCAATATTGATAGCGTTTAGCCTCTTCGACACGATCACAATGAACGTTGGCAATGAGGGAACCAAGTTTCCGGTCCATGAAGCTGTCATCAGGAGAAGCTCAAAGTTCTTCGACAAGGCCATGAAGGAAGAGTGGGCAGCATCTCGTGTTGATGCGCGCACCGTCACTCTTGTCGACGAAGACCCGGCTATCTTCAAAATTTACCTTCATTGGTTGTACTTCAAGACATTCCCTACTGTCACCACGAAGAATACAGGGAGCTTCAATCATGAGACCGGTATGCTTGGCAAGAGCTACGTTATGGGAGAGATGCTCATGGATACTGCATTCAAAAACGCTGTCTTAGTCGCCTTCCGTGACGCCCTTCTCAATCAGCCTTTCTACAAGCCACTACGTCCCGGCTCCAGCATAGTCAAGACCATATACGATGGAACTCCGGAGGGATCCCCCGGCAGGCGCTTCATGGTTGATGTGTGGGTCAGAGAGGCGAAAGAGAATTGGGCTATTCACCTTGACGATATGCTGCTCGCCTTCACGCTGGACTTGTCAAAAGCGTTTATGGCATGTGCGAGGACACCCAATTCAAAGATGACTTCGTGGACAACAAGCATGAAGGACTTTATGGAGACATAGCATTAGTCACAATTGGCCGTCTGTGAGAGAGACTTACCAGCGTGGCGTCTCGCACACGTCGTCACCGCTAGGGTATTTTGGGGAGTCGGAACAGCTGATGAAGGAATTGAAGATTACATAAGTAGCATACATCAGGCCGTTCTAGCATTTGCCTCCAAGTAGATGTAATGACAAGCAAGCCCGGCTCGCTTGATCTCGGGGGTCTGTCTAACCAGATCTGCGCTAGCCTGTGTCGAGACAAATCCACCTTCCAAGCAGCGTCACCCAACTGACCCTCCTGTCTTCTAATTCACTTCGATCACATCATGGACATAAACCCTGGACGGCTAATTGAGCATCGAGCCTTACCCGCTTTACCCACCGAACTATGGCTCACCATATTCGAGCATGTGGTCACCTCCGACACCCACATTTTTAACCAATCTCTCGAGTACAGAAGAGAACGAACGCGTGATCTACAGAGACTTCAGTATGTATGCAAGTCGTGGAAGGTACAGACAATCCCGAGTTAACCCACGTTCTTCTTATCTGACCTCTCGCAGGACTTGGTAGAGCCACTTGTCTACCGCCATCTGTCGATCGACGGCAACAACGATCTAGCATCCAACCGCGTCACAGCTTTGGCCCATCTTCTTGACCATCCTCTCGACTCCGATGCGCCGAAAGCTACTTGGGTGCGCTCATTCTGGATCCAAAGAGATGAGGGCGTAAGCCCTACTGAACCAGCCTTGATGGCGTTGCAAGCTGCACTGCCCACTCTGCTCTCCCGCATGACGAACTTAAGCGAATTGTTTTGTCGTTTTGATCTCCAGCGTCCGCAAATCGCAGCTATTGTACACTCTCACGGCCCACAACTTACAAAGCTGTATATAATCATTGGACGTCGCCTCATCCGTATTCAGGAAGCGCTTTCTCTTTTAAAACATTTCACAGCCCTCAGAGACCTCCACATGGGGGTTAGAGGCCGAACGCGCGGCTTGGACGATGTTGAATCATCTGAGTTCCCTCATCTGCGCTTGGTCGAGCTGGATGCAGAGTACGCCACCAATGAGCTAATAGGCTGGCTCACACACTCGGCTATGCCCAAGCTTTCAGCTTTTGCAATCCGGAAGCCGCACGATAACTGGAGGAAATTGAGTAATCTGCCTGCTTTTATGGCAAAGTACGGTGCCGGCTTGAGAATGCTGCAATTTGACGATAGCCAACTGGCCAACATGTCCGAGGTCTTTGATCACACATCCTCTCTGGAAGTATTTGATACTTTCGATGCCACAGGGCCTCTCTGTGATGTCCCTGTATCAGTCACTCAGATTGTACTTCGTCGGTTTCCAGAGAACATTGGTTACGGAGTTCAAACTCTAGAGTCATTGCTTCAGGTCGTCGGGTCGTTGCCGCCGGACAGGAAGTTACATGCCATTCGCATGTGTTCAGTCAACGACTATCTCGAAAGAGAGCCATTTCTCTGGCGAGAGAAGATGAAAGTGGCGGACACGAGAAGGATGGAAACCTGGAAGAGATTTAGGTATAATGTGAAGAAAATGCTAGACCTGGGCGTTTCACTTCTAGATCAACAGGGTGTTGCTCTCGCAAACGTCCTCATAGAGATGGGGGAGTTTCCAGAAGCGGATAGTGAAGAGGAAAGGGACGAAGAGAACGACGCTTAGGAATACTCGTGGTGTATGAATGATGTGTTTCAGCAATCACCCTACATGGCCCGCGTAAAACCCTCACACTCTACATCCCAGTGCGACGGCCATACTGGCCCTTTATACCCATCCCAGCCACCACACATCATCCCCACCGCAAGTAGTAAGCCCGCTGAGCTCGGAAAATACGGCGTCGGCACTCTTGTTCCCCCCTCTGGCATTCCTACTTCATCAAAAGCATTGTTCACGTCAAGCAACTGACTAACTGCGCGTTCCGCATCTCCTCTCCTCGCTTCTGTGATAGCCAGCAGTGGGAAATCCCAGCCGTATGAAAAGGGAAAGTTCCAGGTCTCGTGTACTTTGGCGATGGTGTTGTTGAAGATTGTCATGTTCACGCGAGAGTCTGGGGGCAACCAGCCATATATACCTAGAAGTCCCGGATGATCTTCTGTATATTCGGGGGTAGTCCACATGTTTGGTATACCCTCATACGTCACATACGCGTCCTCTTCAATGGGGAAAGGCGCTAGGTTGTCTCGTACGTGTACCCAGGACTCCGGAGTAAATTTGTTTTGCCGCGCTTGCCACTTCGACGCTACGTCGAGACCAAAGCGCCAGTACGCTAGCTCGAACGTCGGATTAATCGTCTCGTTGGGATTAGTATTCTCAGAGACTGGATACATGGGCGGCCCAAGATCGTATTGATTCGTTGCGGAATTCCAGAAGGCATAACTGGCCATGAAGTCCGCCACGCCTGTCAGAATCTCATCCCATTTCTCGAGAGTCTTTTCGGTCGGGAAAGATCGGTATTCCATCTCGGCGAAGTACATGGGATGCGGTTGTTGCCAGATGAGTAGGCTGTTGATCTCGCCTGGCGCAGATCGACCGCTTGGGTCACTCATCTTGCCGAGGCGCGCGCCTTCGTATCCTTGCTTTTCAGCTCGTTCGAAGCTGCTGGGTAGAAAGCGCTCATAGACGCCGATACTGCGATCATAGAGGTCCCATTTCTCCCAGAACATCCAATGGGCTAGATGCCAGAAGACCATTTCCAGGTGAAATTTGCCGTACCATCCATTGTTCACCAAGCCAGACTCTTGTGGGGGATCGTTACCAGCCCCGTTGACCGCAAGAAGATACTGAGAAAGGATGGTGCGACGCTGTAGCTCATTCGCAGAGGCATTGTTGGCTGATGGAAGTGACACGAATGCACCAGTCGACCAGTAGTCTGCCCACCAGCTTTGTGACTTTTGCTTGACTGTCTCTGCAGTGTAAGAGACATTGGCCACCCGAGGAGCGTATGTAACAGTGAACGAGAGCGTCTCAGATCTCTGACTGGCGGCTAGGATGTATTTGTGCTCGTTTCTGTGCAGGCGCGAGAGGCGGGCATAACCTTCCCAAGCGATATCGGCCGTGTATGTTGTTGCATCCAGTACATGCGTGATCGTCGCACCTCTGTTCCTGTATTCATCCGTCGTGGAATGGTTGGAAGTAGCGTTGAAGAGACCAACAAATGGTGCATCGAACTTATTTTTCCCCGTCGCATACGGGAAATCAAAGAAAGCGCCCAGTCCTGCAGTCCTTACCAGGCTGGACGATATGTCTACAGCGATAGTGTCGGTTTCCGGACTTGCAACAGTTGTCACCACAACCTTTTCTCCGTTGATAAAGAAAGTGGATTTGATGACACCTTCCCAGAGCTCCAGCACCTGCTCTTTACCAGCAAGTAGGTCTTCGGTGACGTTCCCTCCTGCGATGCCGCCGAACCACAGTCCAACTCTTCCCAAATTAATACGATGTGGGTTCGCAATCATCCATTGACTGATGTCCTTCTGTTCTGGGTTGGGCTGCGCATAGTTGACGAGGCGATCGTGGGTCCACCAGTCAACACCAGTGTAGTCTGATGGAAGCGTTTGATTTGGTGTCGTTGGCAGAGATTGGTTGTGCCATCCCCAGGATGAAAGAGTATTGTGCGGCAGAAAGGTCTGGAGTCCGGTAATGTCTACACCGAACGCGAAGTTTCCGTTGCCAACCTGGACTGGGCTGTATGGGTTCGATTGGCTGAGCTTGATATTATACTGCTGGACAATCGACTTGCGATCGATTTTGCTCTCCACGACAGGCGATGTGAGAGAGAGTAAATATAGAACTTTGGCCCACTTCCTTAGTCGCAGTGGAAACATAATGGCTTTGTGATTCGTTAGCAACGCTTCTACCCGCTCGTCTTTATATAGCTTATGACGGCATCCTCTCCCGCCCTACTTTGATTAAGTTCCCGGTTGATCGTCCCCAGCGGCGGGGTCAACCATTGATTGCATAGCGTCGGGATAAATACCACCGAACACCATGAGATACAGTCACGTCCTGCTACACATCAGCAATGCGATGAGTGATCAACCGGTGATGTGCGCAACCGAGAATGTGCCCAGGTGGGGCTGTGGGCCACCGGCACGTGCACGCGCGTAGCACGCTAGTAGGCTTATCGATAACGATCTTGGGAAGAGCGGAAAAGTTTTGGCAACGTGAAACGCGGGTTCCAATCGCAACAACGAAGATGTCCAACGGAAAGAGCAGCGAACCAAAAGTTGACGGCGCGAAGGACCTCCCCGTGGAACTGAAGAAAGGCAAGAAGAGAAAGAGAGTTCAGCCAGCGAAAGATGGCTGGAGTGGCAAGAAGGGAGCCGGCGTGTTGATCAAGTTCGACCATTCCGACGATGACACCCCCAGTTCTACTGCAGAGCACCCTAAGCCCGTCGCCGAGCCCAAACGAACGGAAAGTGTTGTCGAAACTCCAGTTGCGCGGCAAGCAGAGGCGTACAAGCGCACGAAATTAGATGCACCTCAACCTATCAAACCTCAACCAAACCCCGGACAACAAGCTCGACCAAAGAACAAACAGGCCGACAGACCTCGTACCTCTCAACAAGACTTAAGAGTGCCGTCGCATGTCATTCAGAAGCGTGATGAGTTGCGGCTTGTCCGCAAGTCGCTTCCAATATGGCCTCAAGCGGACATCATCAGAGCAGCTCTGCAAAGAAACAACGTCCTCGTGCTGACCGGAGAGACTGGTTCCGGAAAATCGACACAAGTGCCGCAATTTTTGGCCAATGAGTCCTGGTGTACCGGGTGTATAGCGATCACGCAACCTCGAAGAGTGGCGGCGATCTCCCTGGCACGACGCGTCGCGGATGAGATGGGTAGCTTACTTGGAGACAAAGGCCCTACTGCCAAGGTTGGATATAGCGTTCGTTTCGACACTGCGGCTGGAAAGCACACCAAAGTCAAGTTTCTGACGGAGGGTATGCTGCTTCAAGAGATGCTCAGAGATCCCAACATGTTGCAGTACAGCGCCGTTGTAGTAGATGAGGTCCACGAAAGAAGTGTAAATGTCGACTTGATCCTTGGGTTCTTACGCAATCTATTATCCGCTAAAGAAGGTAGCGTGGCGAGGAAGCATCCGCTCAAAGTCGTAGTAATGAGTGCTACGGCAGACGTGGAAAGTCTCGTCAAGTTCTTCGGAGACAGTCAGCCTGTGTCGAACACCGAGAAGGCGATCGCGAAACCTACTACGGAAAGTAAAGGAAACGTTTCGACATGCTTTGTAGAGGGACGGCAATACCCCGTCAAAACAGTATACTTGGCGCAACCAACACAAGACTGGGTCGAAGCAGCTCTCAAGCTCGTCTTCCAAATACATTACAAGGAGCCTCTGCCAGGCGACATACTGGTCTTTCTCACAGGTCAAGATACTATCGAGGGACTCGAAAAGCTCATCAACGACTATGCTGAGAACATGGACGACGACGTCCCTAAACTTCTTGCGCTACCTCTTTTCGCCGCCCTTCCACAACACGCCCAACAGCGCATCTTCCAGCCAACGCCCTATCGCACACGCCGCGTCATCCTCGCAACCAACATCGCCGAAACATCAGTCACTGTCCCTGGCGTTCGCTTTGTGATTGACTGCGGAAAATCGAAGATAAAGCAATTTCGCAGTCGCCTAGGTCTCGAATCGCTGCTTGTGAAGCCTATCTCCAAGTCCGCAGCTATCCAACGCAAAGGTCGAGCTGGTCGTGAAGCGCCCGGCCAGTGTTATCGGTTGTATACTGAAAACGGTTACAAAACTATGGAAGAACGTACCACGCCTGAGATTTTGCGTTGCGACCTCAGTCAGGCTATTCTGACAATGAAGGCGCGAGGTGTTGATGACGTACTCGGCTTTCCATTCCTTGATCGGCCACCACGAGAAGCTCTAGAAAAAGCTCTTCTGCAACTACTGCACTTGCAAGCGTTGACAGATACCGGTGAAATTAGCGATATTGGTCTCAAGATTGCCAAGTTCCCGCTCATGCCCACGCTAGGCCGAGTGCTAGTCGAAGCAGCAAAGCCAGAGCGCGACTGCCTACTCGACGTGATCGATATCATATCCGCACTCAGCGTCGAAGAGGTCTTCCTGAATCTTGTCACCGAAGAGCGCAAAGAAGAGGCAGAGGAAGTCCGGCGTGAGCTATATCGTCGAGAAGGCGATCACCTCACACTTCTCATTACTGTTCAGCGATACGCCGCCGAACTGAAGTCACAGCGTCGCGCTTGGTGTGACAAGCACTACGTATCCCACCGCGCAATGGAGAACGTAATGAACATCAGGAAGCAACTGCGGGAACAATGTAGACAGCAGAAATTGCTCGCAGCTGACGACAAAGAGTCTGATAGCGCACCTTCGGAAGCTAGGAGTCAAGCCATATTGGCATGTATGCTGCGTGGTTTCATCTCCAATACAGCAAGATTGATGCCAGATGGTAGCTACAAGACGATGATTGGTAACCAAACGGTGGCAATTCATCCCAGCTCAGTGCTGTTTGGAAAGAAATTGGAGGCTATTGTGTTTAATGAGTTTGTATTTACTGGCAAGGCGTGGGCGAAGCGTGTCAGTTCAGTCCAGCTAGACTGGGTGTCTGAAGTAGTTGAGGCCATCATGTAAATTAGGCGATAGCGTTTTTATTTCTTCAACTAGACTTTTGTTCTTGAGCAATATATGTACATGCCAAGCTTCAACTTCCGCAAGCTCGTCTCTGGTACTATCTTCTCCTCCCCACTCCAGCGCCTTCCTTATCCGCCAGACTAACGACCTCACCGATGCCCGCTGCCTCCTGTTCATCTTCAAGCGCACGAATCTCCTCCCTGCAATCCCACCACTTCTCCTCTGCCCTCTCGAATGCCATCTTCTTGACTTCTTTCGGACTCTTCTCTGCGCTCTTTCCCTTCCTGTCCAACTCTTCCAGGATGATATTCTGCCATTGCTCTGAAGTGCGCGCGTAAAAGTCGCGCAAGGATTCGAAGGGACGGGGGTGTGGAAGCGTGTCGGTGAGCGCGGATATCTCTTCCTGGGGACCAAGGTCTTCGGAGTGAATGGGTGCAACGGCAGGAGATTCTGTGACACTCGTGGGTGCTGTCGATACAGACTTGTCGTCCTCCTCACCTTCTTCATCGTCCTCAGAGTCTTCCTCATCTTCTTCGTCCGAATCGGCTTCATCCTCACTGCCTTGCCAGTCTTCGAGCTCGCGCTTGAAGATTTCGGTGACACCATCCAGATGGTTGAGATTGACAGACCAGAGTTCGTCAAAGGTAAACTCGCGGTCGCCTTTCTCGTAGGTACCACCGTAGATATAGAGTGTATCAGCTTGAACCGTAAGTGCGGCGTTGAAACGTGGATGTGGGAACTCGAATATCTTCGGCTTCTCTGGACGTGCCTCTTCCTCTTCTTCCTCTTCCTTCGCTTTCTTCGCTTCGTCGTCAGAATCCGCATCTGTAACTACACCGGCTTTCATTTCGAGAGCCTTGAGATTAGCCAGCAGCTCTTCTTCTGCGGCCTTGCCACGATCCCGTCGGCTGATGTTCGCTTGCTGTGCAGCCTTTTTGTTTGCGTTCAGCTTCGGCCGACGTAGAGTGAGTGGCATATATCGGTTGCGCTCGACATTCCAGATGAACAGCTGATTGAAGAACTCAGAGTCAATGCCCTCTTCACTCTCTTCTACATCATGCACACCACCGAAAAGAACACCGCGACCCTTGTGGTAAGCCATTGTCGCACCTGCACGTGGTGGGTTTGGCGCATTCGCGGGCTTCTTTCGCTTCTCCCAAGACACAGTTGGAAGGGTAGTGGATGGTTGATCAGCAGGTGGTGGTGTGATACGTATGAACCAGGTGTCGTCGTGAACCTTAGGCTTTAGCACCATGCGTGATGCCGGACCGCCACTGCTGCTCTTCTTGCCCTTGCCTTGTTGCTGTTGCTTGCCACCAGCTTGCGTCTTGACACGAGAGTAACCGCCATAGATGACTGCGCCTTGCTCGTGCGGCAACAAACTGAAACTCGACCGTGCATCTGGTACTGCGCGAGCTGCTTGCAGTTTTGGCGTGTGCCATGAGAAGTTGACGCAGTCGTAGATCCAAAGATCATTCAAGTATTTGGTAGTCGCAGACGTATCCTGGAAACCTCCAAATAAGATGATGTACTGTTTGAAGCCAACCATGCGATGTCCACTCCGTGCTGGTGGGGCAGCGGTCTTGCTCTTTCCCTCCATGCGCGTCCATTCTCGAGAGACCGGATCGAGCTTCCAGAAGTCGTTGTAGTGATAGAAGGTCCCTTGCTTCGGAGAGCTGAACTCTCCACCAAACAGGTAGATTTCTTTCGTGTTGGCAGCGCGACACCAAGCGTGTCCAGATCGAGGAAGTGGTGAGTTCGGACTTGTGACCTGCTTCCAAGAATCCTGCTTGACGTTGTAAATCATGAGATCGTTGAAGAACTTGGCGGTGGCTCCGTTGAAGTATTCGCCTCCGAACAAGAAGATCTCATTCTCGTTCGCTGGATTGGCGAGGAGGGTGCTCGAAGTTCGGGCAGACGGCGGCTCAGCGGGTATTTCGGTGATAGCATGGTGTTGTTCCTGCTCTTTTGCATATTGGGCTAAGATATCATCCAGGTCAACATCTTCCGCATCAGAGTCGACTTCCTGTGTTTTGGATGCGACCTTTTTGTCTTTCTTGCCTGCCTTCTTCTCTTGCTTAGCAGCCTTTGCAGCCTTAGCTGCTGCTTTGCCTCCCGCTGCCGCCTTCTTCTTATCTTTAGCCATGTTTCAGATTCGAAATCGAGACGACGCAGTTGTGTAAAGGCAGTGTGGTGACTACTCGGTCTGCGGTGGAAAGTTCTCCGCGTTTGCCCCTCAGTTGTAAATTTTCCCAGCGCCGACGTTGATGATACACCGCCTTGTTCCTAGTGATGCGAATGACGGGTCGAACAAGGCTAGAGTGTTTGAATCGTAATTATTGTAACGATTAAGCGCAAACTTACGGTTGCGGATTGTCGCGTGCAGCGCCTTCAATATCGCCAATCCTTCGGAGCAGGCACTACGGAGTTGGGGGCTTATCGATAAGACCGTATACATTCACTCCCCACTTTGCACCCGACACTTGTTCAACTACGAACATGATACAAGCAGCAAAGATCCTCGAGCAGAGAAGTCACTTGGTGCCTGGTAATTACGTTGTTTCTGTTTTATCTACAACGACTCATGGCTAATTACAGATAGGCAAGCTCCGGATAACGGAGCACTTCTTCCAGGTACCCAGAGATTACTGTATGCAGTCCTCTCATTCATTAGACAACAGATGAATCTGAAACTTATGGCCTTGGATAAGGCAACTGATCTGAAAATTGAGCGATGACAAAGATTGTGCTGACAGTTCCATCTCGAAGTGAACCCTTCAGCAGGAACGATCCAACTCTTCGCTCGCTCGGCTCTGAAAGCCGAGAAGCCTGCAGACTACACACCCACTTCGCACCTCGATCGCGCGAAAACTCAACTCCCATGGCTCGTCTACTTACAGGGCGGCCCGGGCTTCGAATGTCGTAGTCCCGAGAAGGTATCCTGGACTCAGACCATTCTCGAGAAAGGCTACCAAGTGCTCATGCTGGATCAACGTGGCACTGGTCTCTCAACTGCCATCAGCCAGTCAAGTCTACAATTGAGAGGCGATGAGAAGGTACAAGCAGAGTATATGAAGAGTTTCAGGGCTGATAGTATCGTCAAAGACTGTGAGGCTGTAAGGAAAGCCCTGACAGAAGACTATCCCGAAGAGAAGAAGAAATGGAGTATCATGGGTCAGAGCTTCGGCGGCTTCTGCTGCTTGACCTATCTGTCATTCTTCCCCGAGGGAGTCAAAGAGGCGTTCCTGTTCGGCGGCCTGCCACCCCTCAGAGACGGGCCTGATGAAGTTTACGAGCGGCTTTACGCGCGTGTCAAGAGCAGGAACGAGGGATACTACGCGAAGTATCCTGAAGATGTCGACCGCGTCAAACGCATTGTCAAGCTTCTCTCACGTTTCGGAGATACTACGGTGCGTGTACAAGGCGGCGAAGGCTATCTCTCTGCACGTCGCTTTCTACAACTGGGAATCTACTTTGGCAAGCACGGAGGCTTCGATGACGTCCACGAGTTTGTGCTTCGCGCCGATACCGATCTGACCCAATTCGGACATCTTACACGACCTACTGTACTCGCATTGGAGGCAGCGCAGAGCTGGGACTCTAACGTCATCTATGCTCTCCTCCATGAACCCATCTACTGTCAAGGCCAGGCCTCGAATTGGTCTGCGGAACGCCTACTCCCGAAATATCCCGAGTTCTCACTCTCGCGCGTAGATGGAGATGAGCCTGTCTACTTCACAGGCGAGATGATCTACCCTTTCATGTTCGATGTTTACCCGGAGCTCGCTAAGCTCAAGACTGTTGGTAACCTCTTAGCTGAAGAGAAAGATTGGCCGCAACTGTACGACAAAGAGCAATTGAGAAAGAACGAGGTACCGGCGTATGCTGCAGTCTACATGGACGACATGTACGTTGACCTCGACCTGAGTATGGAGACGGCGAACACCATCAAAGGCTGCAAGACTTTCATCACGAACACAATGTATCACAACGGGATCGGTGCCAAGACAGACGAAGTGTTGAAGCAGATCTTCGCTCTGAGAGACGATGTCATTGATTAGACACGAGGCTTTGTCGAGCATCGAGACTTGTCGGCCGGAGTATGACTTGGGGAACATATCTCAATTTCATTGGTTCATAACCTGCTGCGCTTGCTCCAATTGCGCCTCTAAGTCAATGTCCCAAATCCATCGCATTCTATGCTTATAGCTTTCCTCAATTTTGTCAAGGTCGTCCCCGAACAGTTCGAATTCATACATTTGACCAGCTTCGTGGCTTGTCTTCACGATCTTCTGCGTCCTCTCTCGTCTGACTTGGTCGAAGGCGCTGAATGCTCGCTGCAAACCATTGACGTCGTTCGCGTCCTTGACCAGATTGGCGAGGATGTAAGAGTCTTCTATACACTGGCCGGCACCAGCCCCTTGGTGAGGCGTGGTCGCGTGCGCTGCATCTCCAAGCAAGCAAACGCGGCCCTTTGTGTATGTGTCGCAGGGTGGATGCTCGAACAGCGCCCAGATGTCTGGCTTCTGCATGGCCTTGACAATCTTCGTGACATGTGGGCCCCAGCCTTGGAAGTCGTCTTCCATTTCCTGTTTCGATGTGGCCACAACCCACTTCTCGTCTTCCCAGGTATCGCGAGAGCTAAATGCAACCACTGTGGCTGTTAGCAAGACAGCACTTTCGACGATGACTAGCCTTACCGTTCATCGTATTGCCATGCGCAATTGGAAAGGTGAGCAAGTGGCCATGGTATCCAAGATACATCTGGCTGTTCCGCGCTGCATCATCACCCAGTATCTCCACAGCTTCATCCATAGGTATCAGCCCTCGATAAGCGTACTTTCCGGAGAATACAGCCTTGGAGGCAGGGTTATCTCTCCCAACTAGCCACTTTCGCGTTAAAGACTTGATGCCGTCGCATCCAATTACAGCGCTGTGTTGTGCGGTGGAACCGTCAGCGAACGTGAGCACTACACCTCCAGAGCCATCTTGAGCCTCGCCCAGCTCTACAAGTCTCTTATCGAATTTGGCAACACCGTCAGGCATCTCTTTGACGAGTTCGTCAAGGAAGTGAGCTCTGTACACGCCGCCGCGTCCTCCTCCCGAGTGCATAGGCACATCGAACAGGGCATCGCCGACCTTCTTGCCTTCCCTCACGTATCCTTCCTTGTCTTCTTTCCTAGCATCACCCACCCGTATCGTGAACCATGAGTCGGACTTGGAATTGTCCGCATTGCCTGTCTTGCATTTCAAGAAAGCCTGGTATATTTTAGGAGACAGGAGCTCCATGGCACGGCCGGCATTAGGTCCAAACGCAACCCCAGCACCAATTTCGCCAAAGTGTGGTGCGGCTTCGTAAATCGTAAGCGGGATATCGTACTGGAGGAGGCCTATGGCGAGGCAGAGGCCGGATATCCCACCGCCTACTACGGCGAGCGAGTAGGATTTCGAAGACGAGCCCGTGGAAGCCATTGTGATGTCCCGAGGGTATAGGCGTGCGGTTGGGGAAATGTCTTTCAATGTGCTGTTAGCTTGATATCAACGGCGCGACTGCATCGTGCAATGGAAAGAGAACTTGACGCTTGCCAATCACCGTTATGCGCACTTACCTTGGTTCTGATCCGAAAGTCACACCGACCTCGGGACGATGAGAGACGACAGCTCACTCAACGTCATTGACTGCGGACTTATGCAATAGCCCTGCAGCACCCAAATAACAAATCATCCACTTGCTAACACGCGACGGCATACGCGTCATATTAGCAAGTGCACTACCCGATACCGAGCGCGTTGCAGAACACCCCATCCGAGAGAGCAAGCGTCTGGTGGCGATAGGCGACGCGCTGCTATGTGGGGTCTGGAAGGTAAACATGTGGGGTAAGCATTCGGGAACAAAGTCGGCGGTTGAGGCATCGCGCGAGGGCCCCAGGGATTCTGGCTGGCGCTAAACCATTTGGAAGACCAAGATGCCGCTTCGACCTAACCGAGTGCCGAACACGACCTGGCCACGATGCCTTCTGAAAGCGCGATCTGCAATGGGCGTGCATCCCTGACGCATCTGGAATTTCCGATAATCGTAAGTTGCTGTTCGCGTGTGTGTGAAGCCCTTCCTAGGCAGGTGTAAACGTGACCTTCGTCCTAGCCTCTATGCCGTCATCAGGTCGCTCTTTTGTACATCATCATTACAGGCAATACCCTTCTCGACCCACTGACACAAAAACACCCGCTGCATGTACTAACGTCGTAATAGTTCATCCTCAATACTGCCTGGTTTATTGCGTTTAGTACCTCTAATTCCCGCTAAGTCCGATCATCGATGCCGCCTACATCCTACGCTGCTCCACAGCCTCCGAGTGAAGAGGGGGAGAAGCCAGTCACAGTCTTAGTTACGGGTTTTGGAGTAAGTTTTAATCTCTTTCCTGTGCCGATAATCAATTCAAGGCCCCTCAATCATGTCTAAGTGAGACCTGGATCAACTTTCTCACATTCCGGTGTTCCAGAGCATGCCTTGATCTGCCTCATCGACATGTTTCCAGCCAGACGGTTGGGTGGATTCAAGAAAATTGACTAACGTAAACCTAGCCCTTTCTAGAGAAGTTCCCAAAGAACTCTTCTTGGGAGATTGCGTCTACGCTTCCGGCCCTGATACCAAAGTCGCCCAAGAACCAAACGCCGATAAACATACACGTTCACTACGAGCCTATCCGCGTGGCATACAATAATGTCGTCAATCTCGTTCCCGAGCTCCTTCCACCAGCCAACCCTCTCTACCCTCCTCCAGATGTCGTGCTGCACATCGGCCTAGCAGCTGGACGGAAATACTTCGCCATCGAGCAAGGGTCTCAAGGGCGTGGATATGGGAAGATTCCTGACGTAGATGGCCAACGATTCGACGATTCTGAAATGGAAAAGCACTTCCCATCTTCAAAGTATCCGCCCAAGCTGAACACTAGCTTTGATACATCCGAGGTCCTCGCACACTGGAAAGCCAATCTGGGGTACACATCTGTTGATGGCACTACGACCGACGAAGGATGCCCCGACGTACGGATTAGTAACGATGCTGGAAACTTCTTGTGTGGCTTCATCTATTATAACAGCCTAGCGCACTACTTCGGTATCAAGCAAGATGAGAGGCCTGTCGTGTTCCTCCACGTACCCGATCTAAGTGATAGTGCGGACAAGCTGAGAGAAGGATGGGAAGCTACAGTCGCACTAATTAAGGCCTTGGTCCAAAGTAGACGGAAAGCGGGTGGCAGGGTCGTTGACGGAGATAAGAAGAATGAAAAACGGGAGAATGGCACCGAAGGAACGCACACGGATAACAACTTTGCATAGAAGGATCAGAGAAAGGCGCAAGGAGTGGTGGTTCTCATGCAAGCATACCACTGCCAACCCGGATTGGTTAGAGCAGAACGCCCTTTTGAGCCCCGCAATATTCTTGGCCGTAAGCATGGGGATTCATCAATTGGTTAGACATCATCTATATCTCGCTTCCAATCGACTGTTACGCCCGTAAGGGGTTCCTCGGGTGGATGGCTATCTGAGTCACAGGGAACTGAGTAGTGTTTCCAATAAGTCTTGTCTTGGCCAACGCGTGTTGAAGTGATATACGATATTGAGGATGTTGCAGATATGCCTCCATATCTATACCGACAGCGCTGGCCACAATCAGTACCCGGGAAGACTGATGTGATCTTGGTTAGCTCACCATTAAACCTGTCAACAATATGCCTTCATCAACACTATCTACCCAGCCAGCTACGCACATCCTGTCCCTTGCAAACTACACGACTCGTCATCTCGTTCCCCTCACCTCCAAACCCCTTACCCCCCTTCCCTCCTCCTCCCTCCGCCTCCGTACCAAAATCCTAGGCCTTACAACAAACAACCTCTCCTACGCACGCATCGGCCACCTAATGGGTTGGTACGACACATATCCGCTTCCTTCTACAACACCACCTCCGTACAACTATCCTACCAAATACGGTCGCGTTGCTGCATGGGGCTATGCTGAGATACTAGAAAGCACGGTCGAAGGAATCGAGAAAGGAATGAGCGTATACGGGTATCTACCGAGCAGTACCGAATGGGAGGACGTAACTGTAGAAAGAGCTAGAGATGCACGAGACGGGAGTGTAATTCAGGATCAGATTGTTGTAGTAGATGCGCATAGACAGCATTTGTGGAAGCTGTATAACCGGTATCGTGTTTGCGGTCCACTTCCACAATCCGCTGGCGAGATGGAGGAAAGAGATCAATTGGGTTGGGTAGCGTTGATGATTGGGCCGTTTACGGTTGGCCACAATCTTTGCCACTATGTCTTTGCCTGGCAGGTAGACGAAGAGGACATTCGGAAGAGGAGAATACACCCAACAGGAAACGGCGAGTGGAGCGCTGAGGATGCCGATCTGGGAGGTGCTACGGTTGTCGTGTTGAATGCGAGTGGAAAAACAGCTTCTTGCTTTGCGTATGCGCTCCGAAACTATCGGCCCGTTGATCATCAACCTAATCGCATCATCGGAGTTGGTTCGAAAGCCTCTATCGACGTGATCAAGAGAACGGGGTGGTACGATACCGTAGTTCTCTACGACGATTACGACGACACAGTTGAGCAGATCAAGATTTCCGGTACATCACGTACCCTACTCTTCGACTTCGGCGCTCGCCCGGGAGCAAACGCAAATTGGCGGTCCGCGCTGTCGTCATTATCGCCCAACATCCCTTTCACACTGGTGACAGTCGGTGGTGAAGTCGCGCCTCAAGACCCAGAAAAAGCAGCGCAACGCCTCGCCGACAGAGCTTCGTTGAACATAGTCAATGCAAGTTTGTTGCAAGAAAAGGGCATTGAGGTGGCTGGAGAACAATACTTCAAGGATTTGTATGCGGCTTTCGATGCATTCTGGGCACGGGCCAGAGACTTGGGAATGCTAAAGTTGAAGTGGGGTGAGGGGCTGGACGATTGGGATCGAGGCTGGGAGTTGTTGTGTAGGGACGAGGTCACAGCTGACGTAGGTCTGGTATACAGCATCTAGGTACTCTCCCTCTGTCAACCGAAGGT